GAAGTACTAATTCTACAAATTAACGCTAACTATAGGTATAGGAACCACGATTCACCTCGAAATTTGATGAATTCAACCTTGGATTGGGAAGGACTCGCCGCTGCAACTCCTCCCTGGTATCGCCGGCCTGCTGCACGCGACGGAGGAAAAAGAGGAGAATGTCGCCGGAACTCCTGAAGTCGACGGCGAGTCGCGGCGCTGCCCTGGTCGGCGGAGACGAGCGAGAGAACGGACGGTTGCTCCTCTCCTTCGGCGATGCGCGGACGGAAATAGCGGCGGAGAACGAGGAAGATGGCGGCGTCGGCTTCCTGGTCGGCGTCTCCAGTCGACGGTACAGCGGCGGGCACAAGGTAACGGAAGAGAGAGAGAGAGAGAGACCAGTCGTGCGTTACGCAGTGCGTATCCTTTCAGTAACCTCCTGGGTGTTTATTATATAATTAAATATATTTAGGGTCCACTTTACACCACTTAACCAATTAGGACAAGTTTAACCTATTCGTCAATCGTATCTCGGACCCTGTAGATCCAATTCACGACCCGTTTGCACGATCGGGTTCAGAACAGCGAGCTCTACAATGAAGGATTAACCCTCATTAATTAAGGCAAATTAGAAAACAATCTTCGTATTGAGAGGCTCAATAATTATTTAATTTTATAAATTAATTAAAATACTAAGCCGGGTTTCAGGGCGTTACAATTTTAGCAACGGGTTTATCCCATTTTGAGCTATAAAATGGCACCCAAATCCTCTCATTTTACACACAATTCTTCAACATTTCAATACTCTTTCATTGCATAAGCATTCCTAATTTTCTTAGCTATTTGAGAGCCAATTCTTGAAGAAATAGTCGTGTTCTTGAGCCTTTACTAGTTCACTCATATCTACTCTTTGTGGGAGTTTTATTCCTGAGTGTTTAAGTGTTTTTATACACTTTAAGGGAGGTTTTTCCCTTGTTGTAAATTCGAAGGAAGTTCTTTGTTCCTTCGTGAGAAGTCTTGGAGTGCGGTATCTCCGAGCAAAGGTGTTGAGGCTCGTGTGACTCGGGTTCTCAAGTTGTATCGGTTTGTTAAGCACCCTTAAGCTTAACGGAGTTAGTGTAGTTCGAGAGAGTCTCTCGGGGGGCTGGATTAGCCACTCGTTGTGGTGAACTAGGAAACAATTCGGTGTGCTCCTTCCTTACGCTCTTTATTTTTTTGCTCTCGTTTTTAATTTCCTGCGATTTTGTTTTAAACGCTATTCACCCCCCTCTAGCGTTGGGCCTTTATTCTAACAATTGGTACCGGAGCCATACTCTCTGAAAAACTTAACCGTTTGAGAGAAACGATCAGTGGCTTCTACTCAAAGTTCATACGCAGGTTTAGGTGAAGGGCAATCCACCACGAGGCCTCCGTTGTTTGACGGGACAAACTACACCTATTGGAAGGAGCGGATGAGGATTTACATTCAATCCACCAACTTTCTCCTTTGGAGAATTATCAAAAATGGTGAAGATGTGCCAATGAAGAAGGTCGAGGAAACCAACGTCCCTAAGACCGAGAATGAATATGATGCACAAGACATCAAGAAAGTGGAAAACAATGCCAAGGCCATCAACATCATCTATTGTGTTGTTAACCCGGATGACTACCGGAAGATTTCTTGTTGCACCACCGCGAAGGAAATGTGGGACAAACTAGAAATCACCTACGAAGGTACGGATCAAGTCCGAGAAGCCAAAATTGATTTTCTAACCCATGAATATGAATTGTTTCGTATGAAGGAAAACGAGAAAATCGATGAGATGTTTGAACGATTCTCCAAAATCGTCAATGATCTTCATGCTCTCAAGAAGACGTACACGGACAAGGAGCTTGTGAGAAAAATCCTGCGAAGTCTCACGCCGGAGTGGCGCTCCAAAGCCGATGCCATCCAAGAGTCCATCGGCATCACCAACGTCACCATTGACGGGCTTAGAGGTAACCTCAAAACCTATCAGTCCACCATTCTATTCCCTTCTTTAGGTGAACAAAAGAAGAAGGGGATTGCACTCAAGGCTACCTCAAGTCAAGAACCCGCCATGGAGGAATCAAGCGATGAGGACAACGAGTTCGGGCTCGTCATCAAAAAGTTCCACAAGTTCATGCGAAAAGAGTATGAACGAAAGGGCAAAAAGCATGGAGGACCACCCAAGTGCTATGGGTGTGGAGAAGTTGGGCACATCAAGCCAAAAT